AAGTACATTCATCTCCAAGGCACAAACTCTTAAACTCTACTCCCATCGTCCCACTATAAAAGATCACAAGTAGTGCTTCACTAGATTAATTGAAATTAGATGATTCCTGTTCTCTAACACGTTCAACTTCATTCCCAACACCAGAATCTTCTGGGCTACGATCTTCTCCACCTCCCGCTCTTAATTATTGTGCCATTTTAGCCAAACGATTATTGGTTTCCTGTAACTATTCACGTGAAATATTGATTCATTTTTATTCCCCACAAATGGAGATCTCAAGTCCTTAGAATTGCTCTCAACTCTTAAGTACTCGGATACAAGAATTCGAAACAAGGTAATTCACAACTCGAATCGGCCGGTCCCAAGAGTAAATCACCACATTTGAGATTCCTACCCAACATACATATCTAATTTTCTCCAAGTATCAAGATAAAGGGTTTATACCTATCACATTCATGATTCATAGCTTCACTCTAGAAGAGCACTTAAATCTTTACTCATTCACATAGTAAGAACCATAACACTACTTGGCCCAATCTCACCCCGCGCAGAGACCACGTAAAGCGGCTCTAACTTTCATCCCTACAAATAGCCACTTAACTTTCAAACCAGTCCCATAGTCCGGCATCCCAAACTTATAAGGTTAGGATACACTACAAAGATTTGAAATCTAAGCTCTGATACCAATTGTGACGCACCTACTTTTCCCTAGGGCGAATTCTAGGGTATCTGCGGAACGCCTGCCCAACTCTCGCCGGAACTCACTACAATCTATAATTCAAAAGATCGAAATACTTCAAATATTTTCACTATATAATTAAAGTACTCCAAAATATTTCATACTTACAATTAGTTAGCTTTCAAGTTTAATACAATCCAAAAGAATATATACTACAACCACCCGTTATAATACAACTTAAGGTTTTCAAAAGAAAGTAATCTGGTACTATTCACGAGCACCTTTGGTCTTGAACCCTGTTAAGGAAAACATAAATATGGAATGAGTTAAACAACCTAGTGAGGTTCCAAGACACTCTAGCAGTTCTAATAAATCATGTAAGTTAAGTATGATACATATACGGTTCAAGATTTCACATTGGCACATTTACAATAAGACAGTTATCATGATACAGAAATAAACACATATTGAAGGATACGGTGTTCCAGTGGAACCATTTCGGTCAAATTGACCTTATAACTTCAGATCCTCTCGGTTTGTCTGGCCATCATCTTATCCCTCCAGTGGTAATACTCGAGTATACCGAAACGGTGGCTTAGGGTTCCAACCTACCCGATCGAGCCCAGTCCTGATTCTAGGAGGTTAGTAACCAAGGGCAGGATTCAATTCAGCTTAAAACTTACAACATGCGCAAGTAATCAAGTAAATCGATACATCGGTTGAACGGTAGAAATTTGTCATTTTAATAGGTCGAGTGAGATGAAGTACACACTCGCCTTAAAACGGTGGCAATTTCATAAGAGCAATTATAGGTAACACTTAACACTTAAACACGTAAGTAATATGTCATCATTTCATATGAACATGGAATTTATGATAATCAAGTAAGCAGGTAATCAAGTAAATCAGTAAACGGTAGATCGGTTGAACGGTAAATCGGTAATCGATGAATCGGTAAATTGGTTGGACGGTAGAAATTTGCCATTTTAGTAGGTCGAGTAAGATGAAGTACACACTCGCTTTGAAATAGTGAAAAAGTTCATAGGAGCAATTATCGGTAGCACTTAATAGTTAAACACATAATGACCATGGAGTAAACATGTTGTAAAACTATTCAAGTCACGTACTCCTATATGGAACACTCACCAATTCAAAACAAGTGAATAAGTGCTCAAACAAATGTTTAAGCGTCCGTTTCAAGTTTCTCTTGAAGGTCCCTTTGAGCGCCTGAACAAATAATAATTAACTTGACTCACAATCTTGCATTTACCAAGAAAGGATGCACGCTCATTTAGACTAAATCAAAGTCTTAAAAGAGAGTTTTAATTCTCTCAACTCAAAGTTCAAGAGTGAAGTTTTGAAGTCCGAACAGAGACTAGCATCTTCCATGAAATCGAGTTCAAAATGTTCAATCGATATCGAGAAAAGAAGTTAAGTTCCCGAAATTGCATTTTCTAAGTAACCGGCAAATTTCAGCTTTGCACGACAATCTTTGGAAAATCGAATCTGGATTTTGGAATGTCAAAAAATGGAAAAATTTACAACTTTGGAATCTTTGTTCAAAGTACTAAAAGTTCCTAGAAGACACTTTTCTAAGATTCTAAATGAAAAACATTCAAATTTCAGCTTAAAGTGCCTGACTTGTATCTCCAAGACGGTTTCAGTCTTAGTTTTCGGCAAACTTTGAAAATTCGGAAAAATTCACAGAAAGTGAACTAGCCTCTGAAATTTGCAACACTATTAGAGTTCCAATAAAAGTTTTAAACACAATAAATAGAACTAGAATCGGAGTTTTGAGCGCCAAGATATAGCAGTTCAAAGTTGGTTAAAAACAAGGACCGCCCGGTTCATTTTTCCAGATTTGAAAGGTAACTTTGGGATCTTATTTGTATATCAAAACAGTCTTAGAATGACACCCAAATTGGTACACTTCAACTTCTGTATGAGGACTACTCCTCTATCAAATTTCATTTGAAAACTTACATGGGAAGGTAGTTAACAAAACAACTGAAGTTCGTAAAATGTTTCAAAGCAAATCTGTCTTCTTGCTTTCTTTTTCTTTTTCAAACATTAATCAACTCAAATCTGGCTCATTTGTGAAACAAAGGTCTAAAAAAAATCTAATATACATTTGGTAGGTGATTGATATCAGAATTTTCAAAACAACATGTCCCAAATCAAACTAGACCAGTCGGCTAGCAAGACAGAAGGGTTTTCCAGATTTTCGGCTTTGGTGCAATTTGAAACTTAGACCATGTCTCACTCACTACAACTTGAAATTGAGAATGGTCAGTGGAATTTGAAACTAGATTCAAAAGGATACATTTTATCAGAAGAAATCATTTTGAAAATCAGTTCATAGCTACTTTGAATTCAAGCGACAAGCCGCAGCTTATCACTGTCACTCGCATAGCACAGCAGAATAGAACAGGTAACTTTGGTGAACTATTACAGCTCACTCAGTTCGAATCAGAGGATACATTTTGCACCGTTAGAAAACTATAGATGTCTAGTTTCGAATGCTACTGACGGCACTCAATTCTGACCTCCGTACAAAGAGATATGTTCGTTAAAAAATTACTGCCAGAGGACCCCTGCTATGCGATTTTCCAGAATTGTTCTTGCCAAAACTCAATTTTTTTTTCTCAACCAAATCAAATGATTTTTGGTGGAAACTTTCCACACATCCTATACAACATATCTACATCAGATTCAAGGTCATTTGATCACCAAAATTTCGAATCAAAGCTTCGGTAAAAACAGCGCAGAGTTGGTCATCAACCAACCGAAATTTTCCTCAACTTTCCTTTCAATTTTCCAACTAATCTCACCTTGTTTACCACTTAATTAACACAAGCCACACTTATAATCACCATATCAGTCCAATATATCTATTGTGGGATTTCATAGAGCCCACTCAAATCATTTACAACCAAGTAACAACACCCACATGAAGCTACAAACTCCAAGGCCAAATTTAACCAACTAGAACTAAGATTAATGGACCGAATGATTACCTCCTAATTCTTGATGAAAAATCAGAAATTTTGGTCACCAAAAGCTCCAAGAAACTCGGCTAGAATACCTTCTCCTCCAAGCCAAGGTGAATCTCCAAGTAGTTTAGGTGTTGTGTGAAGATTTGGAAGCAAGATTGGAAACAAATGAAGAGAGTTTTGCTTCTCTTCTTCCTTGGGGTTGCTGGTCAGCTGATACTAGGAGGAAGAAAGAGTGTTTTGTACTTTGAATCTTGTCTTAGAAGCTTACGAGAATTTTGGTCCAAAAGCTTTACTAAAGTCAACTCTTAATAGTGCGCATATGCGTGCGTTTCGTGTCCATTTCCTCTCGAGTTTGTTCCACTTGTGCACTAAACTTCCAAATGTAATTCCTTTAACACTATAATTATTCACTCTTAGTAGTCTAAAATAATTTTCTAAAGTCCATCAATTAGTCGCGTGCGTGAAAACGCAAACTTCCGACTCGTGCGCGATAAAGCGTAATTTCAAAAAATTCTTGTAACGATGATATAACTAACTAATACTAGCGTAAATAATCATGAAAATAACTTTTTTAGAAATAAAAACATGAGTCCTCATATGAGTCTAGTATTAATTTCTCAAATCTCCAATTAATTTGCACCAGTGCGTCTTTAAAAAAACTTTCGACGCGTGCACGGTATAAGCTTAATTTTAACTTACTCACATCTAATCTCTCAATTAATTTTTTTAATCTACTATTGATTATTCTTAATTCTCCAAGACTAATGTACTTTCGGATCGAACATAGTCTTGAAAAACGTGTACTCCTTATTTCTCGCTAAACGAGCCCTAGAAAAAATTAATTTTACTAACAAGACGTGTTAAAAATATAATTGAGACATTATTCCATGTAAGTAAGTTTAAAATGATTGAAATAAATTATTCAGAGAAAACGGGTGAGTAAATAATTAATTAAACCAGAAAAATAAAATAAAAATAAAAAAATTTTGGTCCTCACAATGTTCCCCTCCACATATTGAACCATAAGCCACATATGCATTAGATGAACTTAGACCAACTACGGCTTGCCTTTTGAGTAATTTCACCACATTATTCATTTGGGCAGTCAACATGTTGAAAGTGTCCATTTTCATCATACCTGCGTGGCGTCTCGGATTACCTCTTTCATTGGCCCATTGGTAGTTATTTACGGCCATTTCTTCTATTAAACTTTGAACCTCTTGAGGTGATTTACCCATTAAAACTCCACCCGCGGCTGCATCAATGGTAGTTTTAGTAGAGAAAGACAAACCGTTATAAAAAGTTGATACGATTAGCCAATCAGGAAGTCCATGATGTGGACATCTCCGAAGCAATTCTCTAAACAGTTCCCAAGTTTCATATAACGATTCACCATCCAATTGACTAAAACTAGTGATATCCATTCTAAACTTAGCCATTTTACCCGGTGGGAAATATTTATTCAAAAATGCTCGAGATAAATCATTCCATGTGGTAAAAGTGTTAGGAGCATGAGAGTGTAACCAAATTTTTGCCTTATCTCTTAATGAAAATGGGAACAATCTTAGCTTTATAGCATCATCACTAACTCCATTCATTTTAATAGTATCACATATCTCCAAGAATGTAGCTAAGTGTGAGTTAGGATCTTCTACTGCATTACTTCCAAATTGAGATTATTGAACCATTTCGATAAGTGATGGTTTAATCTCAAAATTATTAGCATTTACCGTAGGCCTTGCTATACTTGTTTGAGATCCTTGTGTCCCTGATAGAGCAAAATCTCGTAGAGCTCGCCTGTTTGCTTCGTTTTCTGCCACCTCTTCTTCAAATGGTAGCTCTATTAAGATTTTCTTTATCGGTTGCCAAACCTCTTGTTTCTCTTGCTGTGGTGTATGCCTTCTTTGTCTACGAAGTGTCCTCTCAATTTCTGGATCAAAAGGTGCAACTTCTCGTAATATCCGGTGCACGCACTATAAACAGAAATACAAGAGATTATGCAAAATCAATCGTCAAAAACTGATTAAAATGCAAAGTTAACTATAAACAGCTTAAATAATAAAAATAATACTGTCTAAATTAATAGAGATAATTAGGCCCTAATATTGCCGTTCTCCGGCAACGACGCCAAAATCTTGACGGTTGTTTTATGTAAGTGCAAGTTTAAATTCCGAATTATATCCATTGACTGCAAGTATACAGGCCAAACTAGTAGTTTAGGGTATTTAATCGAGTTGATCCCACGAGAAGCAATACCTACAATTACTAGGTCCTAATTTCCTCTATTATTTAGACTTATAATGAATTTGAGCAGAGAATTTATATTAGCTACTACTTACAATCTGATTTAACAATTGCAAGATACAAATGGAGAAAAATTCACTAAAAACTTGAATTTAGGGATATAGATTCCACTTATGGCACAAAAGATCCAAATGAATGAATTGAACACTTGTTACTACTCTTGTTTAACTAGGGAACCATTTTCAAAATTGCCAAAATCTCATTCTCATGATAATAATGGTCTAGAACAGCTTAGTTTTTCCTAATCTCTTGGTAAACAACTAACTCTATTCTTGTTCATGCATAAAATGCAGATTTCATCCACTTGATTGTATTTCTATTCTCATGAACTTACAACTCAAGCTCTACTCATGTTATTCCATTATTTTTACCATTTCTCAGTGAGTAATACAACTGTAAACCTGCTATTGGTGATCAAACAACAACAAGTAATCAAGCATGCATAAGTAGACAAGTTAATACAAGATACAACAAGTGTAAATCACATTCAATTTATATCACTTGGTTATAAGTTTCATCTACTCCCTAGATATAGAAATTTAGCTACTCATGGATGATATAACAATCAAACTCATAACTTCATTAATGGAAAACATCTCAAGTTACAAGTACAAGAAGGATAAAGAAAAGCTTAGCCAAGTTAATGGTGCAGCCCTCCAATTTCTGCTGTGACTTGCACTAGATGATTACAAGATGAAGTTTCCAAGTGTTCCTTTAAGAACTTCTAGCTAGAGAGAAAAATGTACAAGAAGAAAAACTAGCTACGTATGGTCTCTCTGACTTCCCCTTCATTTTCTGCATAAAAAGATGGTAGAAAGTGCCTTTTTTCTCCCCTCATGATTCCAACATCTCAGATTTGTTTAAGAAAGTCAAAAGAAATGTTGTTTTGACTTGACAATAAATCATATTATCTTTCTTTTTGCTTCAGAAGCATGTGCCACCGAATTCTCTCACCAAAGATAGCTGAAAAGTTGTGTGAAAAGTAAGAAAACTGGCTGTGCCACTTGCAGCAGAGAGAGACAGATCCGAGCCATGGATCCGAGGGGTGCAGAACGATCCGAGGCCTTTCTCACATGGATCCGAGTTCGGATCGGCTGAACTAGGATCCACTACTCCAGAAGTACAGACGAGGGCTTGGATCACTCTTGTTGCACATGGATCCGGGCTCGGATCCAAGTGATCAATTTCCAGATTTTCAATTCCTTCCTTTTTTCTTCATTTTTGCTCCTAGTTTCTTTTGTACTTTATCCTCCAAATGGTCCTTGCTTTTTCTTTATCTCGTGCATGAAGTTCACACATCAATATCCTTCAAAATATCACAGATGAAAGCATTAATCCACTCATTTAGCAAGTTTGATTATTCAAACAATACTTAAGCAATTAGCACCAAAAAGAGTTCAAATATGTCTTTAATCCTCTCAAAACATAACAAAAGTTCATGCTAAACTTGTACAAAATATACATCAAATATTCAGTTATCAACTATTTCCAAATTTACCGATCCAATAGCTCTTTGTCCCCCTTGATTGAAGTTTTGAATCATCAATCGGCTATTGGAGAGTTCATCAATAGGGATGTCAAGTTCCTTTAGAGTTTTTAAAAGAAGAATATTGATAGTAGAGCCTTCATCTATTAAAATTGTATTCACCTTTTGTCCTTTTGCATAACTAGTTGCAAACAAAGAACGGTTATGTGACGTTGATCCAAATAACAAGTCTTCATTTGTGAAGGTAATGTTTGTGAGTTACCAATAGGTATTCACCACTTCATTACCAATAGGTACGTGAGTTATTTCACAAGGAGATTCGTGAGCATCACCCCTTTGTTTTTCAATGTCATCAACTTGCATTGCGTGACATGAGACTACATCAACATCAAAAAATTCTTTAGGTATGAATTCTTTTAAAGCGATAGGAATTCACAGCTTTTGCCTAAAGATTTGGTTTTCTTGAGGATTGCAATTGTTGTTGTTTTCCTTCATATTCTTCTCTTTCCTTTTTCAGACCATCCTACTTCTTCTTAAGGCCTTGGTTGCCTTATCAGATGGATGAGAGTTTCACCTTCTTCTTCACGTGACTAGAGTCCATCCTTTATTATCTATATCCGACTGTAATGATTTCAAGTCTTCATATTCATGCCCATGAAAATTTGAAGGGGAGATTTTTTGTTTAACTTCTATAAGATCAAACAATCCAAATTGAATAGTTGGTAATACAAGTATCGTGACCTTTTCAAGTTTTTCAACTTTCATGGATTGTAGTGAATTAATGGAGATTTGATTCACACTTGCAATGTTTTTTTCGAGAAGCCATTTTCCTTATCTTGCCAAATCCATCACTTTGTCTTTAAAGACAAAATATTTTGGATAAGATGCTCAACCAAGCGGTGATACTTACAATAATTTGGATTATCAGCATTTCTAGTCTCGTTAGGTTGCTTCATCTCAAGAAGCATGATCAAGTTCATGCTTAACAAATCATCAAACATACCAGACACATTAGAATCAATGAAAGGATACTCCTTGTCTTGCATCTCCTTGAGAGTTGGTTTTCTCTTTCCTTGCTCTTGACGCACATTGATCTTCTTGTCTTCTCTCATAGCAGTCTTGCGGACAATTTTGAAAGTTGTTACACTTGCAACCATGGTCTCTTTCTTCTCACTTTTGACTGGTGGCTTGGCCCCTTTCCTTATTTCTTGTCTATCCTTAGCCTTGTGAGGATCAGGAACTGGCAGCTCTTGTCTGTCAAGGTTAATTTCTACCTTATGAATTTTTGTGGATAATTCATCAAATGTGTCTGGATGTACACCTTGCAAGATGTATCTGAGCCCCTAATGAATGCATTAAATACACATCTCAATCACAGAAGGCTCAGAAATTTGATCATTGCAGTTGAGACTTAGATTCCTAGCGATCGATGAAATTAATGGCAGGTTCATTCTTCCATTGACCTTTATTGGAGAGTTCAGTCATGCTGACAGTTCTTTTTGTGCTATAAAAGCGGTTAAGAAATTCCTACTCTAACTGTTCCCAATTGTCAATAGTGCCAAACTCCAGATCTGTGTACCAATCGAAGGCGTTATCCTTCAATGAGCAAACAAATTGCTTAACAAACAAGTCACCATTAGTGCCAGCGTTGTTACAAGTTTCAATAAAGTGCGCAATATGTTGTTTAGGATTGCCCTTACCATCAAATTGTTGAAACTTTGGAGGTTGATATCCTACTTTTGCGGTGTAAGGTTTGGTATAACTGCTATACGACTTGGTACTTCCATCAATCTTGTCCGTGATCGTACATTTGATAAATTTCTTTAGATGATCGATATGAATAGTGCCATCAAGAGAGATTGAAAACTCCTTTATTGTTTGTGACTTGATATTCTCTTTCTTCTTCTTCCTTGATGACGAGTCATCTTCATCTTACATTTTGGATTTCTGTTTGGACATGCTAAGGCTATTTTCACCCATATTTTCTACCATAGCCATTAGTTTGACTATCTTGGCGTCTTGACTTTGTACATGCACTACTAGCCCTTCGACAATTGTAGCTAGATTTGAAATTTGATCTTCCACAATTATTGTATTAGTCATCACGACGGACATTACCACAAAAGCTATCGAATCACTTGAGTTATCAGTGGATTCATCGTGGACTCCCTTCTTGTTGGGAAAACCTTCAAAATTTTTTCCTTTAGCCACAATATTTATCTTGGCCCTCTTTGCTAATTTCTTAGCCTTGTTCCTTGTCATGAGTGCAGTATACCGCATCTCTTGAGTTATTGAATTGCCAGCAACTATGCCTTCAAGAACAAAGTTCACCTTGTTGGACTTCATTGACTTTTGAAATAGGTAAGTTGTTGAAAGAAAAGATATGAGAGGCAGAGATTGGTCCCACTGGGCATGCTAGAAATTTGTAAGCATAAATTTCGTTGTGTAAAATAAAAGACAAGAAAACTTGCACAAATATCAAAATTATTAAATCACATAATAAGTGGGTTACAATCTTTGAAAATTCCCGAACCAAAGAAATTAATCCCCTGATTCTTCTCTTCAAATAACTTCAATCGAAGGGTCGAAAAAACTTATTCTCCGATCAAAAAAGTGTTTCCTACAATTTTAACATAGAAAACG